CCCCCCCCCCCCCGTGGGCTCCTCCTCGGGGGGGGGGGAGGGAAGAAGAAGAAGAGGGCGGGGGGGGAGGCACAGCTCAGCGCTCCATTCAGGGCCTACCGCCCCATCCAAGGCCTGGCGTCTAAGCGAATGCCTAGTTCGCCTAGTGGGTGAGCCGGCCCTGTGGCTACCCATCTTAGAGTTGTCTCTGTCAGCTTTCCTGAGCTACGACCTCCCTTTCCCCAGGCCTCTTTGTCTATCCCCTGGATGAATACACGACCGTGGTTGGCTTTGAAGCTGTCGTTTTCAGTCGGGGGGTGACCGTCCAAATCAAGGACAAAGCCAAGATAGATGACTGCTACTTTGACTGCTGCGACGGACGGGCGCTGGGTGAACGTGGTGAGACGGATCTTTATTACGGGAATAACTTGAGGGGACGGGAACACAGACGGCTCCCTTAGGGCCCACGGAGGCAGGATATTTATTAATTTAATTTATTTATTTCATCAGATTTATATCCCGCCCTCCCCACATTGTAGGCTCAGGGCGGGTGCCAACCTATATATCTGCAATCAATGCAGATTTACAATTTAAAACATATTATAATAACTCATTAAAATCAAGAATGCTCCCCCTGTCTGTCTTAGGCCTGGAATGGTGTTTTTCTAAGGGGTATGAGAAGAAGAAGAAGAGGGGGAGATTGGATTTATACCCCGCCCTTCACTACCCAAAGGTGTCTCAGAGCGGCTTACAAACTCCTTTCCCTTCCCCTCCCCACAACACACACCCTGTGAGGTAGGTGGGGCTGAGAGAGCTCTTGACAGAAACTGCTCTTTTTCAAGGACAGCTCTTATCAGAACTACGGCTTGCCCAAGGGCATCCAGCCAGGTGCAAGTGGAGGAGTGGGGAATCAAACCCGGTTCTCCCAGATTAGAGTCTGCGCACTTAACCACGGCACCAATCTAGAAAAGCAAGAAGCACCAGCTCTGACATACTTTCCTTTTGGCTGTCTGAATACTTTTCCTGTTGGAGAAGGGACTGCCTTTGTGCATCTGGCCCTTTTGTTTTCCCGTGCTCCACGTTCGTAAGGGCTTCCCCAGCAGGGATGAGATATCCCCTCTCCCCTACTGGCAGACTGCCAGAGTTGTGCACCAAGCTCTCCTGCCATTTCCTCTAGGAAGGCTTAGGTTTGCCAACCTCCAGGTAAACTTTACCTGGTAAAGCCTGGGGATCTCCCAGAATTACAGTCGATCTGCAGACTTCAGGGACCATTTCCCCCGGAGGAAATGGGAGCTTTGGAAGGGGGGGATTGTACTGGTGTACCATAGCGGTCACATCCCCGCTGAGCTCCCTCCCCGTATTGTACCCTCCAGCCTGGTGTAGTGGTTAAGAGCCGTGGACTCTAATCTGGAGGACTGGGTTTGATTCCCCACTCCTCCACCTGAAGCCTGCTGGGTGACCTTGGGCCAGTCACAGTTCTCTCTGAACTCTCTCGGCTCCACCTGCCTCACAAGGTGACTGTTGTGGGGAGAGGAAGGGCAGGTGATTTCAAGCCACTTTGATACTCCTTAGGGCAGAGAAAAGCAGGGTATAAAACCAACTCCTCTTCTTCTTCCTTCCCCTCCTCAACAATGAACTCTTTAGGTGGTCTGAGGCAAAGTCACTCTGAACTCAGCTTCAGCTCCTCCCCTGCAATACGAGGATGCCTATACTTTCCTACCTCTCAGGGTTGTTGTAAGTAATGCCACAAGACGATGTATGGAAAGAGCTTGGAAACCTTGGAAGTACTATACAGATGTTGAGATTTTGATTCCTATAGATGGGCAGGAGCCTCTAGCAGCCACTGTCTGTCTAGACTGACTGTGCAAATCCTAAGGATACGAAACCCTTTTGAACAGACCTGCCTACTCACATGCCCAGCTACCTTTTCACTGGCAACACACTGTGATGTTGTGAATCTTTGGGCAGCTGCCCAGCCAGACTGTCCTTGGCACCAGATCAGGGCCAATTCAAATTTATACATTCCATACACGGGGATCAGTGGCCAGATGTAAAATGCATGCGCCTTTTGTCAGGTATGGAAGAAACATGCATCAGGTTCAAAGTTTGGTGAGACATTTAGGTGTAGTGGTTAGGAGCGGCAGACTCTAACCTGGGAGAACCGGGTTTGATTCCCCACTCCTCCACATGCAGCTGCTGGTGTGACCTTGGGCCAGTCACAGTTCTCTCTGAACTCTCTCGGCTCCACCTGCCTCACAAGGTGACTGTTGTGGGGAGAGGAAGGGCAGGTGATTTCAAGCCACTTTGATACTCCTTAGGGCAGAGAAAAGCAGGGTATAAAACCAACTCCTCTTCTTCTTCCTTCCCCTCCTCCTCCATAGGTTCACAAATCTCTAAACTGGAGCTGGCAATCCTTTTTAGGTCACCCTATCATGTCGGTTTCATTCTTCCACCTTTCTCAAAATACTGCTGAAGGCTCTTCTCCATCTGCTATATTTGTCAACTTAGCAGGAGTGTATACCACTGTGCTACACTCTGAACCAGGGTCCTCACCACTGTAACAGTGGGAGAGCAGTGAACAGAGTTTCCAGTGGTGGGTTGGGAAATTCCTAGAGGTTTGGGGGCATGGCAGGGCCTGGGGAAGAAGTTTGGAGAGGGGAGAGAGCTTGGGCTTGGGATGCCAGCCTCCAGGTGGTATCTTGGGATCCCCTGGAATTACAGCTCATCTCCAGACTACAGAGATCAGTTCCCCTGAAGACAATGGATGCTTTGGAGGGTGGACTCTACGGCATTGTACCCCACTGAGGTCCCTGTCCTCCCCAAGCTCTATCCCCAAATCTCCAGGAGATTCCTAACCTGAATCTGGCAACTTTATCTCCCCCCCCCCCCAGTGGCCAGAGGGGACCTGGCAAACCTATGGGAGCCCCTGGGCAGAGGGTTCCCCGGTGCCCCTTCCCACCCACTCACTCATTTCACTGCCTGCCTGTGCATCCCTCCTTGTCCTGCTCACAGACAGCTGTGCAGACCTTTCCCTGATGGCCCTGGGCAGTGTGTGCAGCTGGCTGCGTTTGTGGCAAAGCACTCATAAGCGAGCAGGCAGGGAAATGGCATGTTGTGCAGGGTCAGCAGCAGTGGGCCCCACCAGAACCCCCAGACCCTGGCAGTCGCCCCACCGGAGGCTATGCTGGCCCCGATGGATGGCAACCTTGCCTGTGAATTAGATTATTTCTTTTAAAAAACAGATGCACATAACTCCAATTTGGATCCTGTTTGGGGCACAACACAGAGGGAGAGGTATTATGCTTCCCCACAGTGCCTGCTGAATTGCAACTGATAACGAAGCTCATGACAACGCATCCACCTGGACTGAACAGAGACCTAGGTTTCCTGTCTCATTACCAATACTAATTTCTGCGTGGCTACTACCCCTCTGCATATCACACCTAATCCAATCACACCTGCTATTGTCATTTGCCTGCTTATGTCATTTGGCATCTGAAATCACTCCACTTTCCAATATATGGGAAAGATAGACTCACATTCTAGCTGTATCTGAAGAAGTGAGCGGTGACTCACAAAAGCTCCTCCCCTGCCACAAATGTTGTTCGTCTTTAAGGTGCTACTGGACTCTTGCTCTTTTCTAATGCTACAGACAGACTAACACGGCCGCCCATCTTGATTTTTTCAGCCTGTAACAGAAAATTATTTGCCCCTATGGAGTTCGAGACCCGGGTGCCGCATGACGGAGCGAGCTCCCGTCTCTAGTTCCAGCTCCTGCCAACCTAGCAGTTCGAAAGCAAGAAATTGCAAGGAGATAAATAGGTACCACTTTGGTGGGAAGGGAACAGCGTTCCGTGCGCCTTGGTGTTTAGTCATGCCGGCCACATGACCACGGAAACGTCTTCGGACAGCGCTGGCTCTTCGGCTTTGAAACGGAGATGAGCACCGCAACCCTAGAGTCGGATTCGACTGGCTTTCGAGCAAGGGAACCTTTGCCTTTACCTTTACTATGGAGTAAACATCTAGGCTCTTACTTCGGTTCTGATTTGTTTACTGGAGCAAATAGACATTCCATGGGGCCATTTCAAATCGGAAGAAAGGATCTGGGGAGGGGGAAAGTTTAAACCTCCTTCCCAAGGTCCCAGTCCAGCTCAGAGCCCCTGAGTACCTTTGTCTTAAAAGGGGAGGGAGGAGAAGCATTGGGGAGATCATTCATGGAATTCCCAGTATCACACCCGTTTTGGTCCTTAGAATACTAACAAGCC